TTCCCAGTTGTGGCCTGGGCAGGGCTCCTAGGCTCTCCCAGCATGGATTTCCCCTTGTGTGAAGGACGGATGTTATTGCTTATGGGATTATGGTATGTAAAGCCTAGGTCTTGGAGACCTTCATATAACAGTAATTACTGTTACTCAAAGACTTTGATGTAAAGATCATCAACACCTTTGGGAGGTCCTCTGAGCCTGGCTTTAGGGTTTTGAAGGCACAAGACCCGGTTGACATCCTCAGCAGTCCAGTGGGGTAGACAAACTTAGGTGATGGCATGGGGTGCCCAGCAGAGCTGAAGAGTGAGTGATGGGGAGGGGAGGAGAAAGGATGACGAACAGGGAACATTCTGGACAAGGAGGAAAAGGAACAGGGGAGTGCACAGAGATGAGGGGAGCTGAGATAAGCACTCTTCCTGACCCTGACCCCCAGCAAGTGTGTAAAAAGTCACTATTAGTTACTGTTATATTTGTGGACTGGTAGCCTTAGGATACCAGATTAGTCATGAACTCTTGAGCACTGAGGGAGAGATGGCTTACCCTGGAAGGGAAGCAGCAGAGACAACATGGGAGAAGAAAATTAAGGACGAAGAAGACAGCTCCCATCAGCCTTTCCTACATACTATACCTAATCACTTCTGTCTCTAATAAATTTAAAAAGATTAAGCACCTTGCCTAAAGGCTTGGGAATTTGTAAACAACTCACTAAACAGATAGTTGCAAGTGAGGGGACTAAATTACTCAAATCCCCAGCCCAGATCATTCAGCTAGGGGACTGGAAACCAGTTCTTGGAGCTGCCGTGGATAGACTGTTTCGGGTAGCCCCACGCAGACGAGCGGGTCAGTGAGTCCCACTATGCCCCAGTGAGTTGAGGATCCAATTCTAGCTCTGCCGGCTGGTAAACTTAAGAGGTTTCACTTTGTGAGGTGGGACGAACACTTCCTGGCAGAGACAGTGGTTGAGGGACGGTCTAAAGGATGAGCTTCGGAGGACTGCAGTGCCTAGAATGATGCGTACCCACCAGCCTCCAGGCTTGAGGCCCGTCTCATTTACTGCGTAGCACCCAGTCGGTGCTCTACGATTACCCTGCAGAATGTGCTGTCCTGAAGCGCGGCTACAGCCGGGAGAGCCAGGCTGCATATGCACTGAACTCTCAGCACCACAAGGATCAGCACAGTTCCCAACGTACAAACCTACAGGCTCTAAAACTTAAAACGGTAAGAGTTAAACATTTTTGAATGAGCATTGAGTTCAAGATCTGGAGAAATTGCCCTGGTGCCTCCAAGGGTAAGAGGAGGAACAAAATACATGATTAGGATTAGAGAAGAAATACGGGGCATGGAGTGAAATTAAAATCTACAGTTAATTTTAAGAGACAAAGTACTAAATAATCCCTGTGATTAACCAAGGAGTAAAACAAGTTTTAGAAGTTAGAAAGCTGGGAAGCATTGTGAAGAATGAAGTTTTGTTTTTGTTTTGTTCAAGTCTACTGCACGATTATTGCTCAAAATGGTACCCGTGGCCCAGCAAGGAGCCGCTAGGGAGCGCTACCTCCCCTCGCGCCCCAATATCCCGTATCAGGGGCACTTTCAAGGTCCAGGGCTGCTGGGAATTCGGGAACTTCCGTCTCTGGCTTCCTGAGTTACTCTAGGAAAATTCCCTGAAAGGGAATACATGAACTCTGCCTTCAGATCAGGAGTTGGGGTTGGGGTAGTGAGCCAACAGAAGTCCTGAGCACAAGAAGGTAATTAAACGCCAGACACAACGCAGGTGTAAACGAGTTGGAAAGGGAAGCCCCCCGATGAAATTAATACAGAAGTTTAGGGGAAGGGGTCGGAAAAGGGATATAAGCCTAGGAAAGGATGTGGCTGTGGCCAAGATTAAAAGCGCGGCCCAGGACGGGTTTTGCAACCTCAAGCGCCCAAGGCCGATCCCGGGCGGCGGGCGCGGCCCCACCCATCGCGAGCGACTCCTGACCCCACGCTGACTCACTTCTCGGATAGCGCGCTAGCAGTCTCCAGCAACAGGTTTGTGAAACCCGTAAGCCGAGGAACCCACAGGAGAGCCAAGGCTTGTAATCAGGAATTTGGAGGTGTTGGGGGGGGGTGGGAAGCCCTACGGGAACGGGAAGGATTTCGAATCGCGGGCATGAAGATGGACTAAGAGTCCGGGTGCGTCGCTGCCTTAAGGGGAAGCGACCGCGCTCTCCCACACTGGCCCCAAGGGGAAATAAAGCGCAAACCAGCAAGGCGGGTGTGGAAGTTCTAGCTGCGTCCGCGCCGCCCCGGGGCGCGTCCGCCCTCGCGGGGGGTCGTGGGAGGCACCAGAGCGGAAGAGGCCGCCGCCCGGGCAGGGCTTGAGCCGGGCCCAGAGCCCCAACATGGCGGCACCGGAGGTCTATGTCGCGGAGGCTCCTGGGAGCTGTAGTGCGCCCGTGTCGAGCGAGTGACGCACTTCTGGGCCCGGCCGGAAGTTGCGGCCTGCGGTCTTCCGGACCGGGGGATGGGGCGTGGCTGTGCTGACGTGTCACCGCGCTTCCCGGGGGGAGGGGGAGGGAGGCTGCTTCAGTCTCCCCAAAGCGAGCGGAAACGTATGCTTGTGGCTGCGGCCTCCACCGGAGCCTCTTTCCCGCCAATAGGGAAGCCCAGCCGCCCAGCGCCGCTTGAGAAGTTGCTTGATGGCAGATTTGATCTGCAGGTGCTCGCGGGGTGGGGGTGGGGCGGGGAACTGGCGGCGCCTGGGCAGGCAGCCGCTGTTCGCGTCTTTGACGAGTCGGTGGTTCTTTTTCTTTTTCAATTTAACACAGCTGCAGTGACTCCGTACCAGTAGCTTCCTGCTCTTTTTTGCTTCCCGTGGCAGCAGCTTTTCTGCGCTGGAAGAGTCACACTAAAATAACGCTTGCACGTGAATCCACAGTTTTCTTGAGCCCTGTTTTAACACCGCCTGTTTTCCAGTTCTCCGTCGTGTGTTCTTGCTCAGCGATGTGTTGTGCAGGAAGGACCCCCCAGGTGAGGGTGGGCAGAGGCTGTCTTCTGGGAGCCCGCTGCGAAGGAGGGAGGGACTGGGGAGAGTTGCAGCAAGAAAGGAAGGTCCTCCCTGGAGGGCAGAAGGAGACACTGGCAGTCGTGACACAGGCTCTGGTGGTCTGGGCTTGTTGACACGGTTCCAGTGTCACTCGCTCTGAATACTCATTCTCTTCGTGTCTTCCCCCCCCCCCAAGATTTTATTTATTTGACAGAGATCACAAGTAGGTGGAGAGGCAGGCAGAGAGCGGCAGGGATGGGGGGGGCAGGAAGCAGGCTCCCCGCTGAGCAGAGAGCCCGATGATCCAACGACTCGAAGGCAGAGGCTTAACCCGCTGAGCCGCCCAGGCGCTCCTCTTGGTGTCTTTACATCTGTGTTTCTCTTCAGAAAGCTCCCGGACCACCAGTAGATTTATCTGATGAAAGTCCCCCAGCCTTCCCTGGGCATTTGTTGCTAAGGCTTTGAGTCCACATTGTTCCAGGTAGAGTTGTGCTAATCATGTGTATTGAAAACAGCAAGGGTGAGAGGGTACATTTTTTTCTAGACATCAGCCCTGCCATTTCTGTGTTTATAGAATCATAAATCTAATGAAAATAAGTTATAATCCGTGGTTAAGTTTTTTCTATTAACTTTTTTTTCTTTCTTAAAGCTTTTAAGTCCTTTAGTCAATTAGCATTTCTTCCTGGGAGTTGTAGAGAGCTTTCTTATTTCCTGTTGGCTCATGTTTCCTCCTTAGCATTTTAGGGCGGTGCTGGAGTTCTGTTCAGTGTTCAGCAGATGCTCTTGTGAACTCTGTGCCAAGACAGAGCCCCTGACTTTCCCAGTCATCTTGGCCCCCATGGAGGCAGGATCAGATTCTGTTCCCTGTGCATGGCTGCAGACTTATACAGCATCACAGGTCTCTTAATCTTTCTTGCCTCTTCCTTTTTTTCCCCACTTTGTATTGGAATATAATTTATATACCATGAAGTTCACCTTTTGAGAGTGTATGTTCAGTGATTTTCTTTTTTTTTTTTTTTTTTTTTTTTTTTATTTTTTTTTTTTTTTTTTTGAAGATTTTATTTATTTATTTGACAGACAGAGATCACAAGTAGGCAGAGAGGCAGGCAGAGAGAGAGGAAGGGAAGCAGGCTCCCCGCTGAGCAGAGAGCCCGATGCGGGACTCGATCCCAGGACCCTGAGATCACGACCCGAGCCGAAGGCAGCGGCTTAACCCACTGAGCCACCCAGGCGCCCTGTTTAGTGATTTTCGTTATATTCACAGGGTTGCGTAGCCGTCACTGCAGTCTAATTTCAAAACATTTTCCTCATCCTCCAAAAAAATCATTTTTATTAGCCAACACTCCCCAACTGCCTCAATTCCCTATTTCCTGGGAACCACTAATCTATTTTGTGTCTGTGTTGATTTCTTCTGGACATTTCATGTAAATGCAGTCATACCATAGGTAGCCTTTGGTGTTTGACTTCTTGCACTCAGCATAATGTTGTCAGGTTTCAGCCGTACTGTAGCCTGTGTCAGTACTTTATTCCTTTTTACTGCAAAATAATATTCCATTGTGTGGGTATACCACATTTGGTTTATCCATTCTTCATTTGGTGGACATTTTGAGTTGTTTCTGGTTTGGGCTCTTATGAATAGTGCTGCTGTGAACATTCCTCTACAAGTGTTGGTGTTGACTTCTCTTTTCTTTTCTCTGGGAGGTATACCTAGGAGAATTCCTGGGTCATAATGTAAGTCTGTTTAACTTTTCGAGGAGCTGGCAGGCTGTTTTGCAGAATGGTGCAACATTCTGTGTTCCCACCAACAGCGATTTCTCCACATCGTCACCAACAGTTGTTGCCATTCATCTCTGATAATAGCCTTCCTCGTGAGTGTGAGGTAGTATCTCACAGTGGTTTGGATTTACATTTCTCTGGTGGCAGATAATGTTGATGTGCTTGTTGGCCATCTGTCTGGCTGTGCTTTTTTGACTCACAGAGTATCCTACAGCTCCACTGGACCCTCAGTTCGATCCTCTTCCTGCTGGGAATCCCCTGATGAAGATTGAAGTCGTTGAAGTCCTCACACTGAACCAAGAGGTAGCTCGTCCCCGAAACGCCCAGATCCGGGCCCTCTATGCCGAAGATGAGGGCCTGAGCCCAGATGTGCTTGGGGAGCCCACTCAACAGCTAGGCAAGCAGCTAGCTGACCCTGAGGCCGCGCGCCAGAGGTTCCGGGGCTTTTGCTTTGAGGAGGTGGCGGGGCCCCGAGAGGCCCTGGCCCGGCTGCGTGAGCTGTGCCGCCAGTGGCTGCAGCCCGAGGCGCACTCCAAGGAGCAGATGCTGGAGCGGCTGGTGCTGGAGCAGTTCCTGGGCGCACTGCCCAGGAAGCTCCGGATGTGGGTGGAGTCGCAGCACCCAGAGGACTGCCAGGATGCAGTGTCCCTGGTGGAGGATGTAACCTGGATGTCTGAGGAGGAAAGTAAGTGCAATGGAGGGGTGGAGAGAGACACTCCTGTGGGGGCATCCTGGAGGATGGGGAGAGGAGGAACTCAGGCTTCCTGGGAGAGCTTGGGGAAAGGTCATGCTGTTTCCATTTAGGCCAAGGGCATCTGCCTCCTGAACATGTTTCCGAGTCAGAGTTTTAGGTGCTTCCTTGCTGAAGTACCTACCGTAGTCTCTAGGTCAGGGAATCTGAGAATGGCCTTATCCCTGGACCTCTCTGTGGAAATGGAGAGTCTCAGGCTGGAAGAGTAGCTTCCAGCTGGAGAGTCACAGCTACCGAAACCTTTGGGTAGGCTCTGGGACTACACTCTTTAACCAGCCCTCCCGAGGCTTCTGAGAGAAGCTTACAGTTAAAGCCTTCATTTTCGTCCTTTTGGGATCTTTTCTGTACTACAAGCTAATAGAAAATGTGATTTTAATCACGTAGGTATACTCCAAGAATGCACTTTTTTTTTAAGATTTTATTTTTTTAGGTAATTTCTGCACCCCACATGAGGTTTGAACTTACAGCCCCCGGATCAAGAGTGACATGCTCTACCAACTGAGCCATCCAGACGCCCTCCCAGAGTGCCGTCTGATGTCATGCGCTCAGTGGGGGCTGTGGATAAAGTGGTGACCAAGACAGACAGGACTCAGACTCATGAGCTCAGTAAGCCTTAGGTCTAGCAGGACTGATGGGAATTTGACAAATATGCATGTGACAAATATGGGGTTGAGAAGAACTCAAGGGTGCTGGCGGAGCTCCAGGAGGCAAACTGCTGTAGCCAACACCTGGTGTGGAGTGGAACTCAGAAGTGGGCAGGAAGGGGCACCTGGGTGGCTCAGTTGGTTAAGTGGCTGACTGTTGATTTCAGCTCAGGTCGAGAGATTGAGCCCCAAGGCAGGCTCCATGCTCAGCAGGGAGTCTGCTTCTCTCCCTCTCAAGCTCCCCTTTACCCCTCCCCCAATTATCTCTCTCTCCCAAATAAATAAATTTTTTTTTAAGATTTTATTTATTTATTTCACAGAGATCACAAATAGACAGAGAAGCAGGCAGAGAGAGGTGGGGAAGCAGACTCCCCCCTGAGCAGAGAGCCCAATGCGGGGCTCGATCCCAGGACCCTGGGATTATGACCTGAGCCGAAGGCAGAGGCTTTAACCCACTGAGCCTCCCAGGCGCCCCCAAAATAAATAAATCTTTAAGAAAAAAAAAAGAAAAAGAAAAAAAGAAGTGGGCAGGATGTTCCAGGCAGGGGAGCATCACCTATGAAGGGCCAAAATGGGAGCAGTAACAGTATAATCCAAAATTAGAGAGAAATTGGGTAGGTCTTTAGTAGAAGTGAGCAGAGGCAGGCTGGCAGGCCCCTTGAAGAGATTTTTTATGTTGTCCTAAAGCAACAAGAAGTGTCACTCTAAAGCAGTGGGAACCAATCCATGAACTCTCCCTAGAAACATGCGGCATGGTCTGACTGCGTTTTAAAGACCTACCAGGTGGCAGCTTGCTCTGGATGGTGGACAGAGAAGGTCCAAATGAGAAGCAGATTGGCCACCAGAACTATCACTGTGCCCTCCACGTGGTGTGGTGGCTAGGGCAGGAGTGACAGTGGTGGGGAGCGGAGATGGGAGTACATGTGTAGGGTGCGTTTGGGGGTAAGATGACATGAAACTTGATTTCTGTCCGGATGAGTTCCATGGAACACGGACACTGAATATATAACCTCACACACTGAGAGTGATTTTTCAGATGCCATTGACTAAACCGAGGGTCTTGAGACGGGGAGATTATCCTGGATTACTTAGGTGGACCCAAATGCAATCACAAGGGTACCTATAGAGAGGCAGTCGTGAACATTAAGGGTGGAGAAGACATATGACCCCCGAAGTGGGGTGACACGAGAAAGGGCCAGAAGCCAAGTATTTTAGGTGGCCTCCAGAAACTGGAAAGGTGAGGAATACATTTTTCCCCAGAGCTTCCAAAAGGATGGTAGCCCTGCCAACACCTTGATTTTAGCCCAGTGAGGCTGGTGTCAGACTTCTGATCTCTATAATCACAAGAAAGCAAATACATACTATTTTTAGCCACTGTTGTGGCCATTTGTTACAGCAGCAACAGGAAACTGATAGAGATGCCGAGGAGATAGTTGTAGAGCTCACGAGATGAAAGCGAATCTGTCATATGTTTCACACCTTGGGATGAAGTCAGTTTATATCATAGAGGACGGAGCAGAGAGGGCTTACAGATAATTCTAAAAATCCTGCATTTGTGATCAGCAAGTTAGTTGGGACTCTCAATTGTGATTGCCAAGGGAGGAGAATTTACTGAAAAAGTCCCAGGGTGATCTACTAGCTTCAGACATGGCTGGTCCCAGGGCCTCCTGTAGTGTCCTCAGGACTCATCTCTCCTCTGTCATACTTCTCCTGGCCTCTGTCAGTTTCACTCACAGGCAAGCTATCTCCATGTGGGACCTCCCCACACAGAATTTCTCTTTCCTAAGTGTTAACAAAAGCCTCTTTGGCTCTGATTGTCTAGCTGTGGGCCCTGTATTCATCCATGATCCAATCACTGTGGCCAGAAGGAAGAAGCAGCCTGGTGTGCCAGCTTGTGTCACTTAAGCGTTCCCCTTGATGGGGGGGGGGGGTGAGGTCATTATAGAAGCCCATGGACCAGCTGGGGACAGATGAAGAGTCAGGCATGAAGGAGCTGTGGTTGAAAGGGGGCTGTAAGGCCAGTTAGAGCTGTTTTCTAAGGTAGAGGAAACATGATAGAATTCTCATCAAGATGGGTAAGTGTTAGGAGAATAAATCCAGTCTTGGGAGTCAGAGGCCAGAAATGGGGTCTTTGCTTCTGAGGACAGCTGTGAGGCCAGCTGCCGAGGCTAATGGAGAGAAGAGGCAGCTGCCTTGGAGGAGGGACTGGGTCCAGAACAGTGTCTGGAGAGGGAAGGAGTGAGATCAGGGGTCTCAGCAGTGGGGACACCAGTGCCCTATAGTAATATGGGGTGATGCATCCTGAACGATCCAGGTGTGGGGATTTGGGCACAGGCTGTGAAGAGGAGCCAGCGTGGGGACCTGAGCTGGTGAGGAGAAGGATGGGCACAGATGTCCCTGACAGGAGCAGCAACAAGATACACAATGTGTGCTGGCCCCATGGGTCCCAGAAAGAGAAATGGCTGTCATTGCCCTGTCCTGGAAGTAGCACCAAACCTGGCTGATCACCTGTGCTGATGTCTCCTCCCAGCATTACCCGGCCAGGACTCCACCTTCTCTCTTCAGACCACAGCTCCTGAGGAAGAGGAGGAGGAGCAAGTGACTACGTGGCCAGCGAAGGAACCATCTGAGGTGAGTGGGGAGTGCCACCCCTTCCTTCTTTGGTCAGAGCATCCCCTGTGAGATGACCTCCCCTTCCACCTCTCATCTCCCACCAACCAAGCCTTTCAGAGTTTCTGATTGTGAAGGGCTGGACTGCCTTGCTGCCACCATGGAGACCAAGAAAGGGCACAGTGACTAGAAGTCAAAAAATTTGGAGGCAAGAGGGAGGGGCCAAGTATTTATAGACACTTAGGAGCCCCAGGCAGGGGCTTGCAGACCATGTCTGAATCTGGGTGAGAACAAGAGAGCTCTTGTCCTTCAGAAATGCATATTTAGGTGTTTATGACAGAAAAAATTGTCTGGGATTTGCTTCAAAAATATCCCAGAGCCAGGACATAGGTGAAACAGCACTGTCCCTGTCTTGCTAACTGCTGAAGCTCAGAGAGTGCAACTGAATGATGGTGTGTGTGACATTGGTCAGGACTCTTTCTGATGCAGGTGGCTCACAGCTCATTCAAGCATAAGGTAAACTTACTGGCTCTCACATAACGAGTGGTCTGGAGTAGGCTTCAGGCAAGGCTGTATCCAGGGGCTTCCTGGTGTTGAGAGAGGGGTATGTCTGTCTAGTCCTGGTCTAATGGTTCTGCTTTCTCCCATTCCTTCTCAAGCAGACTCTGCCCCTCATGGGCAAAAGACCTCCCACATATAGGCACAGTGCCATGGGGAGGCCTCTTCCTGCTGGAGTTCTTGCCAGCTCCCCAGAAGGACTGACCTCAGTGTAGCCTCTTGTTACCCACCCTCAAGCAGCCCCAGTCCACAAAGGCAGTTCCACCACATGTTGTGGGGGGTATGCCTAGTCGGGGGGCTTATCTCAGGAGCAGCCTTCTGTAGGGAGTCGATGGGAAATGGTGAGCTGCACACGGGTGGGTAGAGTGGAGGCAGTTTGCTTATAGCACCTGTAGCTCTTAGTGAAGCAGGGACTCTGCCTCCAGCCTAGGCCCCACACTCTGATTTTGTGAGAAGGGACTTATTGGCCTCTTATGGCCCAAGTCAGCATTTCTGTGCAAACAGGGGCGCCCTCCACTCAGCAGACTATTGGGAGGCCCCAGTCATCCTTCTTTCTGTCCCAGTCAATGACCCTACTGCTCAGCAGACACAGAATGTGGCATTGCAGGAACCAGTGACCTTCCTGGATGTGGCCGTGGACTTCAGCAAGGAAGAGTGGGGGCTGCTGGACCCGACGCAGAGGACTGAGTACCATGACGTGATGTTGGAAACCTTTGGACACCTGGTCTCTTTGGGTAAGGCTCTGCCCGTGCTGGCCACTCCAGCCTTCTAGGATTGGGAGCACCAGAAGCCCTGGAGTGGGGCTCTTGCCTTCTCTGGGCCTAGTGTGAGAACTGGGCACACCCCGGAAAGTTCCGTGCACCATCCCTGCCTTCAGCTGGCCCTGTGGACCTGGAGGGTTGGGCACTGTGTGGGCAGCAGCAGCCTCAGATCTAGTGAAGGACTGATTTGCTGCCTACCTTGAAGGCATAAGAGGAGTCAGAGAGCCAGGAGAGTGTTCCCAGTTCCAAACCCGTCCCCGGCCCGGTCCCCAGCCGCGGAGCTCATGTTCTTCTCTTTGCTCCTTCATGCTCTTCAGAGTCCCCCCAGGCTGTAGGACTGTTCTTGGGGGGAAAAAGCAGCTTTTGAATACTTAGCTATGTCATACTCCTAGCCCATTTAGCACTTTCTCTTTACCGTATCCACACCTTTTGGGTTCTTTTAGGGTGGGAGACTACACTGGAAAGTAAAGAGTTAACTCCGAAGTCTGACACTCCTGAGAAAGAACCAGCCCATGACCTGAAACTGGAAGAATTCTCAAGGGATGACACCTGGTCCCCTATGTCAAGAGATCTCTCACAGGGTGAGGCCCAGGAAGTCTCAGACGCAGCACTGAAGGGGGTGGGGCCGACTGGGGAAGAAACCCTCCCTCAGAAAAGCTCCTCGTTGCGGGCGAACACTGGCCTTGGCACAAGCCATATTTCACTCCAGAAAACTCTCCCTAGAAAACGCTTGCGTAAGCGTGGCTCACGGGTTAAGAAGGTGACACGTAGTCCAGGTGTAAAAATTCATCAGAAGGACCGCAAAGGGGAAAAAGCCAGAGAAAACAGTGGTTGTGGGAGAGCCTTCAGCCGGAGCGCTCAGCAGATCACATTCACAAGAATCCACAAAGGAAGCCAAGTCTGCCGATGCAGCGAATGTGGCAAAACGTTCCGGAACCCAAGATATTTCTCTGTACATAAAAAAATCCACACAGGAGAGAAGCCGTACGTGTGTCAGGACTGCGGGAAGGCATTTGTCCAGAGCTCCTCCCTCACACAGCATCAGAGAATCCACACTGGAGAGAGGCCGTTTGAGTGTCCAGAGTGCGGGCGGACCTTCAATGACCGCTCGGCCATCTCCCAGCACCTGCGGACTCACACCGGAGCCAAGCCCTACCAGTGTCAGGACTGCGGCAAAGCCTTCCGCCAGAGCTCCCATCTCATCAGGCACCAGAGGACGCACACTGGGGAGCGCCCCTACACATGCAACAAATGCGGAAAGGCCTTCACCCAGAGCTCGCACCTCATCGGGCATCAGAAGACACACAGTAGGGTGAGATGCAAGAAGAAACAGCCTGCCTCGCAGCCGTCCATCTGAGCCGGGCGAAGACGTCGCCTCTTCAGCCTGACCCTGCCGAGTTACACAAACTGGCCTGAACCGAACGTGAAAGCAGCACTGAGTGATGATCTTAAAAGCAAAGGACAACCAAGGAAACTGCCCTGCACAGGAGTAAATAAGAAAACTGGTGGGGTGTTGTTGCTAATGAATATAGGTTAGGAAAACATTCAATTTTTCACTCACTTGATTTGCTGGTACAATTTGGTCATTAAAAATGGTAACAGTAGGGGCGCCTGGGTGGCTCAGTGGGTTAAAGCCTCTGCCTTCAGCTCAGGTCATGATCCCAGGGTCCTGGGATCGAGCCCCGCATTGGGCTCTCTGCTCAGCAAGGAGCCTGCTTCCTTCTCTCTCTCTCTCTGCCTGCCTCTGCCTACTTGTGATCTCTCTCTGTCACGTAAATGAATAAAATCTTAAAAAAAAAAAAAAAAATGAGGGGCGCCTGGGTGGCTCAGTGGGTTAAAGCCTCTGCCTTCAGCTCAGGTCATGGTCCCGGGGTCCTGGGATCGAGCCCACATCGGGCTCTCTGCTTGGCGGGGAGCCTGCTTCCTCCTCTCTCTCCGCCTGCCTCTCTACCTACTTTTGATCTCTGTCAAATAAATAAATAAAATCTTAAAAAAAAAATGATAACAGTAAAACTCGAAAATGCTTATAATGTAAGTTTAAAAAGACAGGTACCAAAAAGTCTGTGCACTGATATTATATTTGTGGTAAAGTATTTATCCATATGGACAAGGCCTAAAAGAGAACAGGGATAAATAAACTATATATTTCTGTGATAGAATCTGTGTGTTTTCCTCACCTATTAAATATCTTTTCATTAATAATTTCATATTTATAGTAAGCAGCACGAAAACAAAACATTGTCAGACCAATTCTAGAAGACTCTGTGCAAGGCTGCAGTGCCTCTGGCCCAAGATTCCAAATGAGGTAAAATGAGTGGGTCATTCTGACCCTTAGAACATCATCAACATGCAGGGAGGGAATGTTAGGTTCAGGGAATGGGAGCCTTGAACAACCACTGAAGGCCTAGAGGAAAGGAAACCCCAGGCCAGTGTGGGAACTCCCCGGGAATGTTCATTCACTTCACACATCCGCTTTTCCCACAGGACTCCTTCAAGGGAAGGAATTACCCTGGCTGGATGCTCATCACCAAGTTAAGGAAACTGGCAGCATTAGGGCATGTGTTCGATGCCCACATTTCACATTTTACCTGAAAGGACAGATTAAAAGCCTTTCTCCAGGTCACACAGCCTGTAACCTGCAGCCCATCCCACCCCTTGCTCTACAACTCCACCTCTGCTCTCTTGAGTTGTGCATAATATTTCAATACAGGTTTAAAATTCTGGGTCAGATACTGAACTTGTGCTTACCAGACATTGGCTGAATGCTGTTGGTCACACCTCTGGAGAGCGTGTCAGCCCATGCTGACAAGGATGAGGCACGTCATGCCTTCTGGAATGAGAGTACCTCACTCCTTTCTCTACAGGAATGAACAGACCCTGGGGAGAGACCAGAAAGAGAGCCAGGAGGCCAGGTGCCTGGAGACAAGTGATGGCACGCCCGCTGTCCTATTGCCCTTCGTGCATCAGGCACGCGCTTAGGGCTGCTATATCACATTTAAACATATTCACACGTTCACATCTTCGAGAGATGAACTATCTGGGGGCTGGAGAATTTACCAGGGCTTGCTGCCCACCCTCCCCTGGAGACCTTTCCGGAGGGGGAGAGCAGCTTTTTTTTTGTTTTTTTTTTTTAAGATTTTATTTATTTATTTGACAGAGATCACAAGTAGGCAGAGAAGCAGGCAGAGAGAGAGGAGGAAGCAGGCCCCCCGCTGAGCAGAGAGCCCGATGCGGGGCTCGATCCCAGGACCCTGTGACCACAATCCCAGCCATGATCCCAGCCGAAGGCAGAGGCCTCAACCCACTGAGCCACCCAGGCGCCCGAGAGTGGGAGTCTTAAGCAGACTTTGTGCTGAGTGCAGAGCCCAAGGTGGAACTTGATATCATGATCCTGAGATCACTACCTGAGCTGAAATCAAGAGTCAGACGTTTAACCAACTGCACCACCCAGGCAACCCAATAAATTTTTTTTTAAGATTTTATTTATTTATTTGACAGAGAGATCACAAGTAGGCAGAGAGGCAGGCAGAGAGAGAGGGGGATGTAGGCTCCCTGCTGAGCAGAGAGCCCGATGTGGGGCTCGATCCCAGGACCCTGGGATCATGACCTGAGCTGAAGGCAGAGGCTTTAACCCACTGAGCCACCCAGGTGCCCCGAGAGAGCAGTTTTCAATGGAGAACATCAGCAGTTCCTTTTCCAAGTCCTGGTGATGCAGGGATGTCTGTTTACCTTGGGAGTGGCCTCACCATGATGCCCAGTGTCCACTGGTGAAGGCCATAACCTTATCCTCAAACAAGGTCAGTTCATCCTGAAATGTCATATACTGATTTGTTGCCAGAAGATGGTCTCTGAAGGAGGTAAGCTAACTGCTTTCACATCTGTGCTGGTTTCAGATATGGCTACAAATGCTTTGCCTTTCCTCCAGTCCTAGAATCTGGTTGGGCTTGTGACTGCTTCCATTCATAGCGTTGGCAGAAGTCACACTGTGTAACTTCCATGAGATGAGACCATTAAGGATGCTGGGGTTTTCTGTTTCCTCAGGGAAATAAGAGGCGGTATTGTCTGCTGGAACTGGTACAAGGCTACATGATGTTGGGTGGCGAATGAGGAGAGGAGAAATCATCCCCTCAGGGTGAACAGATGAGGGGGAGCTTGCCTAGAAGCTCAGCCAGGGCCCCTGAGGTTTGGGGTCACTTACTGAAAGTGACCAAGTTGGAAATCCCGTTGGCTGCTTTAGAAGGCCAGAGAAATTCCTCTCTGAAGTGAATGGGAGAATTCCCACTTTCCTTAAAGTAGGACGAGTTGATGCAGGATTCGAATATACTAAGGTGGTGGTTCCCCATCTTTTCCCACCCACACATAATTCATAGCAGCAGCACCCACAGTTACATTCACAAGTTTGTCATCAGGGCTCAGGGTGTCTGAGTCTCCTGGGGGGTCACAGGAGGCAGAGTGACGGCCCCACAGATGTCCACTGCTAGTCCCCAGAACCTGTGAAAATGGTACTTCACAAGGCCAGAGGGACTTTGCAGATGTGATCGATTATGTTAGGATTTGGAAACAGGGAGATCATCCTGGATTATCCCCTAAGCCCAGTGTCATCACAAGGGTCGGTACAAGAGGGAGACAGGAGTGTCCAAGTAAGGGAGGAAGATACGATGACAAAAGCAGGGGTTGGAGTGATGCAGGGCCATAAGCCAAGGAATGTGAGTGGCTTCTAGAGGTCGGTAAAGGCAAGGAAATGGACTCATTTCCTGGAGCCTTCAGAATGAACACAGTCTTGGAGATACCTTGATTTCAGGCCAGTGATAGACTTCTGACCTCCAGGATGGTAAAATAACAAATCTGTATTTTTCAAACCACTAATTTTGTGGTATTTTGTTTCTGCAATGATAGCAAACTAAAGCACAGGGTATATGTGATTTCCCAGTTTCTACATATGGGTGCTGATCTGCACCCTAAGGGATGGTATATCTCAGTGGAAAGCACTGGATCTGCGGGAGGGAATGGGGTAGACACTGTGCCCTGGATTGACAATCTGAAAGGAACTAGTGCTTTGGTTCAGGTGGAATGACTCTTAGTTCTCACAGAAATGCAGATATTGGTTAGGGAGGAAGTCTAACAGTCGGAATGAGTGGGATGCTCAGACTTTTTTGGTGAGCTTGGGACAAGGACTGTTGTCTGCTAGAAAAGGGTACAAATGTAACGTCTGGGGGAGAGGCAGCTGCACTTGCAGAAGTGGATGAGGTAGAATTATGAGTCATTTGAAGGCTGGAGAAAATGGTCCAGTTCACAAACTGAGACCTGGCTTTCCTCAGAGACTTGGATCACAACATAGAAGCAACCGTATTACTCTTCAGAGCTGGCATTTAATGATAGCCAACAATCTGGACAACCATCAGAGCCCCTGCTTGGTTTTAGTATCTTCTTTGTGCCCACAATAACCTGGACAGGTCGGCAGTATTCCTCCTGAATTGTGGGTGAACGGAAGGAAACTCAGCAAGTTGTTCAAAGGGATAGAAGTAGAAGTGGCAGACAGGGAGATCCACATGCTTTTGGTCACTTGCTCAACAAGCAGTCCTTAAATGCCTGGAAAAAAACAATTCAAAGGCCACATGAGAATCATCCATCTGCCTCCAGGGACTTCAGTTATATTCAGAAAAATATGGCCAATGGAAGATCATAAAAGAGGGGCACCTCGGGGGCTCAGTTGGTTAAGTATCTGCCTTCGGCTCAGGTCATGACCACAGGGCCCTGGGATGGAGCCCCGCATGAGCTCACTGGTCATTGGGGAGCCTGCTTCTCCTTCTGCCTCCCCCCAACTCTCTTAAAAAAGAAAACATGGAGTGCCTGAGTGGCTTAATCACTTGGGCATCTGACTCTTGATTTTGGCTCAGGTCATGATCTCAGGGTCATGGGATTAAGCCCCAAGTCAGGCTCCGTATTCAGCATGCAGCATTCTTGAGATTCTCTTCCTCTCCCCTTGCCCTTGTCCCTGATGCTCGCACATGCATGTGCATACTGTCTCTCTCTCTCTCTCTCAAATAAATCAATAAATCTTTAAAAAAAATAATCAAAATGAGAACACAACAAAATAAATGGTGCACAGCTAAGCTGTATAACAGGAAAAATTAGGGCCTTGATTGTATTATTAAAGTAGGATTATCAAAAAGAAAGGAATCAATATTTTGCTTTAAGGAATTGGGAAAACAGTATAATAAAGTTTTTTCAATACAATAAACCAAATTGTTCAAGTTCATTGAGATTAAAGCCAAAGTTAGTGAAAAACAAAGGGAAAGGAAAGGTTAAGATGATAGACAAACCCCTCACAAGCCTGACTGAGAAAACAAAAGTAGTATAAATGAGAAAAAAAGGTAACCCAGGTAGAGAAAAGATTAAAGGAATTATATAAGACCTTACACAGAACTATATGAATATTTTCCTAATACAAATAACCAAAAGTGACCCAAGAAGCAGAAATAATTGTCATGGAAGTGACATGGACACAAAGCCCAGGAGACTATATAGCTGACTTTAAATCTAACATTAAGGAATAAACTATTCCAAATTGTTAAATAATTCCACATCAAAACAAAATGGACAGCTTCACAAAATATTAAATGAAGATAAC